TGTCACGAGACACTCACCTCACAAAGCGGAGGTATGTGTGGTTTAATAATAATTACAGATTGTAGTTATAATCAACTAATTAAACTTGCATTTAAATCATACATAAATGAATGAGAATGAATGACATTTTCTTTGCTAATTAAACTATTTTATTTAGATATCACTTGCTCTTATTAATTTCCAGGCCGTGTGGCAAGATATATCTCAAATAGAAACTAATAAAAATCAGAAGTTAAGAAAAGGAAAAACCAGATCATCTTTAGTACATCTGTAGTATCTGTAGCATCTCTTTAACCCTGCCAGACCTAACATCGCACCAATCATTACAAAATTTCTGAAAAATTATTCTTAAAGGGTAACGTAACACCAAACACGTCCTCTCTGGTTAAAAGTTTCTAATTAGTGTCACCTGACCACACCCAACATCACAACAGGGGGCAGGTGGGTGCGTTACAGAGGTGTGCACCTGTAACCACACCCTACAGTGATGTCACAGTTAACTGACACCTTTACATCATTGCAGTAAGAAGAAGTGAGAAGTTAAACCACCACAAAAACAATGTATTTCAGAGGGTATTAAGTCACTCTTTAAGATTCAGGTTTTCAAAGATACCAAATATATCAGGCTGAATTGGAAGGAAATTTGAATAAAAGGCTGAATGTAAAATACTTGACATTTGTTTCAATGCTGCAGTAAAAAAAAATAGACTGCAATAGTTTACGTAGCGTCACTATCTTCAGTCTAGTATTATAACAATGTGTGTATGAAATTTTGTTAGTAGGTGGAAAAATAGTTCTTTCGTGTGTGTGTGTCTGTTTTTTGTTATTTCAAAGCACTACAGTGATCAAGTCAAAATAGTTCTACAAAACACGATTACAACTTGCAGCCTTGAAGACACAGTGTGAAAAACCTCCTGTTATCATCTTTGCAGATGTCACAGCATCACCTGCCTGTCTCTGCAGAGAACACTCTGTACACTCTGACTAACTTTATACACTTACACGAGAACCAATTGCATTATTACATTTGATTTCTGGGTGTCCAATGTGATCTCAAAGCACATTTGTCTCACAGAACACCTACACACCTGAACCGATACATAACCTTTTGGACATGGTTAAATCGGGGGGAAAAATAAGCTGTTCTTGCTCTTACAGTTGGTCATAATTGAAGTCATGGGTCATCCAAGTTTGGAGGTAAACATATCACTTTGACATGATGTTATCAGACTGGAGTGTCAGGTAAAGTACAAAGTAAGGCAGGTTTGAATATGAGCTCCATCAGATAAAATAGAAGCTTGGCTAAATGTCTTTTATCTCGTCAGTGATTGAGCACCATCTCGGCGACTCCTGTGGGTTTAATATGATGGCTGCTCTGCTCAGAGAAATGCTAAACTTTGGCTTCCATCTCCGTCAGACAGCAAAGACCTGCGGCAAATTAGCTTTTCCGAGTTCTGTTGTCGCGGTCATTTCTGTTTGTGTGGTTTTGGGTGTCTCGCTTGTCTGTTCCCTGATTAGAAAAGGTCCACTGGCTGCACCTCTCCCGGTGACCTCGCTGTATGTGACTGCAGGACGACGGCAGGCATTGTGTTGACAAGCATAGATTGAAAACAGCTGGGCCACACTGCAATCGCACAATCTGGAGAATTATACAGCTAATCCTGTTGACATTCATATCTCTGCCACTGCCAGTCATGCTTGCTCTGCTGCTCTCTGTCTCGCTCTGTCTCCTCCTTTCTCACTGCTGGTTCACTTTAGTTTTGGTACATCTCTGATGCAGAAAGCGTGTGTCAACAAATGTCTAATCAGTGCAGTAAACACTGATTTGTTGATTTAAGACATCCTTAAATTGTATGAAAAGTGAGCACTTTCAGAAGTCTAGGCTACATACAGATGAGTGATAAATTCAAGAAGAAAAAAAATCCTTAAACAAGTTTTGTTTTTTTTCATCGTGAGCCAGACTCTCCAAGTCTCTGAAACTCTAATAAAGAGATGTTACATAATTTTTCTAAAAGATATTTCATCATTTGGTGATTTGAGAGAACGGCGTAACATGTTGCTCCAAAACCTCCCATAGGTGTTCAACTTGGTTGAGAGCTAGAAGGCCCATGTCCAGTACGGAAGCATCTGCAACTGTCACATTTCCTCTCTAGTTTCCTCTCTAACTCTAAGTTAAAGTCTTTATTGTATAGCGCTCTTTGAGAACTCATTATCTTTTCATTGGGTTGTCATGTCATGGGTCATATAGGAATATCTCTTTATGCAGTCTAAACATTTGTGAACCCCTTCAGCTGAGGATCAGAGAGATGGAGCAGTATTCCTAAACTTAATGAACAGACACAAAGCTGTGAAGTCATTGCTAGTGATGTTACATTCTTTGGTACGAATCAGGGGACCTGAGTCGTACTTGAGGTAGAAGCAATAATAAAGCAGGGTGCAATATCTGCAAATCAAAATTATAATTTAAAGGGGCATATGTAAGTTTTCTTTTCCCCTTGTGGGTGGTGCTGATTGTAGCTTGACAAGATATTTGGCCATTGTTGTCTTTATAATACAAGAGGTAATAACACGCCCTCTGAGCAGCACTACGTCTTCAGGGCAGATTGGAGGCTACAGTGAGTCGCTATTGGAAAGTGAGGAGGTGGGCCTTGGCTAGCTGGTCAGTGTGATACCCAGTAGTAGAAAAGACATGATAGAGACAAGAGATAACATTGATGGTGTTTTCCACCACTGGAGACAGCTGCTGGCGAGTAAAAGAAGTTTGATGCTGAACCCGCAACATTTCTTCTAGATTGATAAGTAAACAGCAGTTAATGCTGACACTGGCTATGTAGCAATAGCAACGCTGACAACCAGCTCATTTTAAAGCAAGGTCAACAGACAGTCTTCACCACCGCTTAAAAGCACAGCAATGGTGTAACTTCATCGGTCACTCCGTCAGTCAGTCAGTCAGGGACAGACATCCACGTTTACAGGGCTGGCCTCCAGCCAAAGGGAAAAAATAGAATGATGAGCCGGCTCTCAGAAAGGAGCCATAAAATCCAGCTCCCTTCAAAGAGCCACAATTCCCATCTCTATTGCTTTCCAAAATTAACCATATGAGAGTCCTCTGATGTGGTTACCCTATCAGCAGGACAACAAAAAAGTCACTTGTTGTTGTCCTGCTTAATGTGACAACATCACACTGCTCCTACTTGTACTTCTGATAGGGGGATGTCATCTTGTCAGAAAAAACATGTGGATAGGTCTTTAAACCCTTTGAACAAATGACTAATGTTAGTTGTTCAGTTGAGAATAGTGGCGGTGGAGCAGCAGCGGTGGGTCCCATCAATTGGACAATGAACTGACAGCTCACAGAGGCAGAGACAGGAAGGTTTTTAAATTCTGACAGTGACAAGATGACTGTGCAGAGGTCACAGCCAAAATCAGATGGGTTCAAGCAAAGAGGGAAAACACCCAGACTGACTGGGAGGATGGGAAAGAAATGCATAAATAGAGAAAGATAATTTTTCTGACTGAACGTCAGCTGAGCTTCATTAGTACACGAGATCTAGGTGTCCAGGTTACATCTGCTATATTTATTTGCAAAGTGTGTGTTTTTAAGATGTCCAGGTAACAGAAATCACTGTCTCAGCATCATTAAATGACTATATTTATATTCAAAGGAGGTCCTAACCATAAAATATAGCCTCTAAAATATAAATGTAACCTAGACGTTTAGAATACTAATTGAGCCCAGTTTTAAAATCCAGATGTCCAGATGTTCTTTGACCTACACATGACCCAATCTGCTTTACTGGTACTGCAGCATTTGCAAAGATGAAGTAGAGAGAGAAGCTAAATATCTTTTTTTACACTTAATAAAAATATCAAAGCTAGGAATGATGTTGCCTGTAAACCACACCACCTTTCCACAAACAATTCAAATTCTCCTTCCTGCCTTCTGTGCTCGCTTCTCTGCAACCTGTAATTTCAAATAATGTGTTTTTACCCCCCCTCTCAAATTTTTTCGCTCCTGGATCAGGGGATAGGCTTGCGAATGCTGCTATTGTTTACAGTCTAATTTGAGACGGTGGAACAGTGACCTGCATCCCAAAGCAGACATTACACCTTCCCTTGTGTAGCGCACACTTGCACAGGCGGAGCAGGCGGTGCACACTGTGTAACTGCCATAATCACTAAGCAGACACCGCTGTTCTCTCCCTCATCAGTTTGTGTTGGTGCAGGTAACCCAGACAACCTGACAGTGTACACAAATTAGAGGCAGGCAGGAGAAGGGTATGATTAATGGTTCTCAATAAGGACAGGCCCCGGAGGAAAGAGGACTGTAGCAGCAGTGCTTATAAATCCCAGGGATTCTCTGAGGCAAGGAGGAGGTGGGAGACTGAGTTCGATTTGGGAGTGAGGGGAAGTGATGGGGGGGGGGGTGCTGTGTGAAGCAAAGACAAGATGCACGACTCATTTTTGTGTCTGTGCTTTTATACAAAATCCTCATACAGAGCAAATCCATGTTGTGCAGACTACACTATATTCATGCAGTTAATGAAATCTGTTGTATTTTGTCAGGTGCTGTTGCTAATTTGCCCCTTGAGACTGGAAATGCTTTGAATAATCTCTTGCTTTGACGACTGAGAGCAGCCCACCTTTCTACCACAGAGAATTCCCATGTCCCTCACTCACAGACTTTTCCTCTGAAAGGCCTTTTCTCACCTCCAAAATTGGAAGTTTCAGTGGTCTGAGCGGGGGGAACTTTACAGATTATCGGATGAGAATATCCTCAGATTTATCGTCTGCCGGTCAGTATATTAGCTGTCCTGAATAAACGCAGACGTTTGTAACTATCGATGCCACGCAGTGACCGATTGGACGCATCCAGACATTATAAACTGATCTGATTCTGCAGAGAGGAAACCCCCGCTCATGTGTTGTGGATCGTTCCTCTGTTCCTCCACATCCAGGCGAGGTGAGAGCGGCGCACAGCGCCAGACGGACCAGAGCGGGTTAGTGGGGATACGCAGCGGAGCGCACGGCTGAGGACTTTGTACAGCGCAACTCCAACACAAATGGATATTTACGTGGCTTTGCTATCTTTTTTCTTTTTTACCAAACCAGGTAAGTACAAGCAGCGTGGCTCTCTGTGGTCGCAGGCAGAAATTTTGTTGCGAGTGAGACGAGCTTCTTTGACGGTTTTTTTTTTTTTTTAATTTTACGCTCCTCAGTTTGCACCTTGCGCGCATGCATGTCGGATATTTTGGTAGTGTCTCTGGACAACTGCAGCTTATTGTTTTTTAATCACCCGCAGTTTGTAGAGTTAACATTTGGAAATAACCAGGACGCAGTTAAGGTGAAAGAGATGACACCTTTTACCTTAACGGGTGCGCACAGTGCACCTACGGTCCGTGGAGAACACAGGTGATGGCTGCGGGCACAGACGGTGCATCTCACTGGGCAGCATTAAGCAACCCTGCGTGTAAAATTAAAACTGCGTGAGTTTTTGCACGACCAGCCATTACTATAAGCAGTGAAATGCACATGAGCAGTGACCATGTCTGTTTGTGAAACGAATTAGGATTTTAGTTAAAACCCTGTCAGGTTTAATCCTCTAAGAGGGCTTTGAACACACCGCTTCACATCCTCTAACCTCCCTTTCTCTCCATCAGCTTTGGCTTTCGGATCAGATCAAGACTACCAGATTGATATCATCAATGAACTTGACCTGGCAAATGCCACCTATGGAATTACCCAAGTGGCGGGTCTTCACAACAGCAGCAAAGCCTTCCTTTTCCGAGGTAATGCACGCAAGCACGCACGCACGCTGACAATTTCTTCTTCATTAGTCGCGCTACTCAAGTTCAGAAATGTCTTTGTCTTCTGTTTCATGGCTGCGCGCACATGCACACACGTACACGCACGCACGCTCTTTGTTTCATTAGTTAGTGTGAGCAAAGTCACGCAGCGCCACACCTTTTGGTGTCACAGTATTAGCGCGGATTCTGAGGCAGAACACTCCGGGGAGCCTCCTCTCATAATTACTCCACATTTAATTTGTCCCAGGCAGCAGATGCTCCGGCTCTTTGCGGACACACTCGAGCGCGTTGTCTTGTGTAGGATTTTTCACAACACTTTGACTGTTTCCAATGACACCCAGTGTTGTGTAATCCGAACAACTGGTGGTTAATGGATATCAGGTGTGTCACAGCGTGAGGACCCTGAAGGGCACACAGCGTGCGGCTCGGATGTTTTTAGAGCCTCAAAGATAAAGAAAAACACCAGATCCTAATTCCAAATAAATGTCAAAGCCATAAGTCCTAATGGGAAGATAAACTACTGATAGCCTGTGTTCTTGCTGTTGAGGGTGAGGTGAGATGCGTGACCAGTGTCAGGAGATAACTTTGCTTTGCTCAGTTGCTTCTCTGCCCTCTGAAAAGGACTCAGTATTTGGTGCAGATTGTTCCTTTTTCGTGTTGTGCCCTGAGCTTTAAGCAAAAGCGGAATTGGTAGAACTGAAGTAGAATGAGGAAAGAATGGGATGTACAGCATTGAGAGAGAGAAAGATATGTGTGACTTTATGAGAGAGAGTTTTTTTTTGTGATTTGCTGTGTCTGTGTTTTTGTTTCCTTTTTGGCTGCAGCTACAGAAAAGGTGTCAGGAGAACCCGATGATTATATCTGAAACTTTGTTTCATAAATTTAGGTGTTTAATGTAATTTTAGTAGCTCAATATTCAAAGGCAGGTATGAGTTCCACATTAATGGTCCAATGCTGTTCCAACACAGGGAAACGCTGAACCTTTTTATTTTTTACTTTTTGTTGTCAAAATTCAAAGATACTGGCACAAACATCAGCGGCTCGAATCCAAAATAAGCAGCAGTGGGTATTGAGACTCATATCGGCAGAGTGCAAGTGTAGAGTGTGTGTGTGTGTGTGCGTGCGTGTGCTGCGTATGCATGTAGTCTTATTTTCTAGAGTGCTTGGCTTGGCGTGCCACTGGCTCAGTATGAATGAAGCCAGGGCAGCTTGGCCAACTCTGCCGAGGTGGAGCTGTCCAAGATTCAGGGCTGGAGGCCATTCAGGACGCACAACCTCACTTTTTACTTGATACACACACACACACACACACACACACACACACACACACACTCCAAGCTGCTCTCCCTGTGGTTTCCAGGCTCCCAGGGTCGAGGTGCAGCAGCAAAGATGGTGTGGGAAAAGGAGGCTAATCCAGTGGGGAAAACTGGACCTGTGAGTTTTTGAAGAGGACTCTTGTGTTGTGACCTATTTAACACTTTGCCCACCCTTGTGCTGCTTTCATGGCCCTGTAACCCAGATGGCTCCACAGAGCAACTGCAGCCAAAGTTGCAGCAACTATCAGTTACTATACTCCCTTTCTGAAAAAAAAAGTGGAGAAGTTGATGTTGTAATAGTTCACAGCAACAAGCAGCCCATGATTTACTGCCTAGTAGAAGCTTTGCTGGAGCCACTGGAGCTGATTGGGTCAGTGATTATTCAAGATGATTTATGTTTGCTGTATGCAATCATGTTGTGCACTGAGCTCAATATCATATTTCATCTGTTTGATTGCATAAATAGTGGAGGAACATATTGTAATGCTGGTGAAATGGCTGGGAGAAAAAAAGGGGCAATGTGGTGCTCCAATTAGTGTCGATAGCACTGAGATAGAAAGAGGGGGCTCTGCCAGTGTCTTTGGCTGGACACTGGGAACAGTCTCTCTGGTCTCCCAGTTAGCCGCTGATTTACAAACAACAGATGGCTTGCATCAGAAAATAGATTTCAGCCTTTCCTCTCTTAAAGTTTTCAGCAGAATAAGGCACCAGCGCACTTAATGAAAGCCCGTTTAGTAAAGGCAGCCTCCAGTAAAAGGTCCTTGTTTTGATGTGTAATCCGACCTTGCGTTGAAAAGAAAGAAAAATGCTAATAATCACCCACCGTGCAGTGATAGCTGGGAACAAAGCTCGGCTAATTGCTAATACATTTGCATATTTGTTATGGTTTGTAGGTTTTTTTTTTTTTTTATCAACAGGACTGCTTACATTGTGGGAACTTGTGTGATGTATTGAATACAGTTAATTTGTCCAGATGAGGGCTGACCTAGTTTCTCATCCTACATTGGAACCCAGATTGTCAACCTCATTACTCAGACCGCCCCACCCCACCCCACCCCACCCATCGCAATGTTGATTTAATTTAAAATTCTTCTAATGGTGATTGTCAGTTTGTATTCTGGTATCCCCCTGTGGGTTGATGTTGGGTCTGTTGGTCTGACAGTTCCGTGCAGGGTGAAACGTCTCAACTTCAAACAGCTGCAGCTTCAATCGTACAAAGCTTCCCTCACCAGACTAAAGGCTGCTGAGCACCTGAAGCTCTTCAGGGGGTCCACTTAGTTCCCAGTATCTGAGACCTGACTCTGGTCTCGTTTGGGCTTTATCCAAATTATATTCAGTCTTACCAGGTCAGGTGGGGTCCTCACTGTATTTGCCGCTGGTTTGGGGGTCTGTGTGTAAAACAGTGTAATACCTGAATGGATCCGAGCAGACCTGTGAGTCGCGATCGCCTCGGATCATGGGGTACAGTATGTTGATTTCATCACGGGAGAAAAATGTGGGGTTTTTTTTGACCCAAGCCCAGAAGCGTGAGCTGTGAATCGTAGGAGAGATGACATGTATTCCTACTCATTCCAGCTGTTCATTTTGCTCATGAACTGTTAGCGCATCATGCTGCTGCGGTGCTGCTGTTCATGTTCTCTGTTTGGGTCGACCAAAGTTTGGATCGGGTGTAATCATCCTCTGGTCTGTTTGGACAGAGTCTTACTGTCTTACCTTTATTTGAAACTGTATACATCACATCTGGGTAGGTTTGTTTTTCATGGGTCTGTTTCAGACAGAATCCTCCAGGTTACACTAGTGTTATGCACTGTTCAGAGTGCCAAACAGTGTCCAACTGCTTTGATTTGGGTAACAACACAACTTTTCTTTTGAAGAACAAACTTTTCGTTTGATAACCAACTGGTGGAAATGATCTAAGAAAAGCAAAGTTTTCACTTGATTTCATATCTGTCCAGTGGCTTTTGTCTACTAGTATGTCATGATTATTGCAGTTTCACAGGGCCACAAGCATGACTATAGACTTTTAGTTTTATTAAGACGTAGAAGAAATGCTTGAATATTAAACTTTTGTATTTGTAGTGAATGCCATTTTATTGAAATGACAATATTGGATGTGTTGGATGTTTGCTTTGAATCATGACAGCACTTTGACTGTTTGAAATCAATATTTTACTGTGTAAGATTTTTCCAACTAGAGCTTAAAAAAAGACCTCAAAGTCTGTTTTAATAGTTTATTATGAACTGGTTATTTGAATCATATGAACAGTGTTAAGTTGAACAGAAACTTAGACAAACATGTAGGAAACCCAGCTGGCTGTGAACCTATCTAGTCCGTATAGTTCCTTCTCTTCTTCATTGACTCTCCTGCTCAAAATCATTAATGTTAAATAGTCAAATGGTAACAGCAAATGCAGTCTTGATCTTGATATCCCTGAGATCTATAAACCTGCCTCCTATCAGCTTTTTAGACCAATTATCCTAAACATGTGACAACTCTGCAGTCTAGTTTTAGGACTGAGATGGTCCTTAATTAACGTTTAATCGACCCTGATGTCGATTCCAATCAGATTTTTTTTTTTTCCAATCTCATTTAAAGCAGTAATCCACACTGAAGCTCTTGTCCAGGAAAGACCTATAGCTAATGCACTTATTTGTTGTTTTACCTGTGGATAATGTTGCATGTAAAACATATATCAAGATATGTTAAGCAAACTGCAGTGAAGTTTAACTGCAGAATAAGTTTCAAATCAGAGTGAAGTTTTTATTTTCTAGGTCTGACACGAAGCTTCATGCTCCCAAAAGCCGTTCTTGGAAATGCAAATCATTCACTCGTGTAGAAGTTGCTGAGAGGGGAAGTGTTAATTTAAACTGTGAATTACAATGTTCAAACAAATTATTCCACATTTTGACAACTGAGTTTATTTGCTTTTGTGTCATATGACTCTTACACCTGTCAATTTAATATGAAGCTACAGTGGGTACGGAAAGTATTCAGACCACTTTAAATTTTTCACTCTTTGTTTCATTGCAGCCATTTGCTAAAATCGAAAAAGTTCATTTTTTTTTCTCATTAATGTACACTCAGCAACCCATCTTGACAGAAAAAAAAAACAGAAATGTAGAACTTTTGCAAATTTATTAAAAAAGAAAAACTGAAATATCACATGGTCATAAGTATTCAGACCCTTTGCTGTGACACTCATTTAACTCACATGCTGTCCATTTCTTCTGATCCTCCTTGAGATGGTTCTACTCCTTCATTGGAGTCCAGCTGTGTTTAATTAAACTGATTGGACTTGATTAGGAAAGGCACACAACTGTCTATATAAGACCTTACAGCTCACAGTGCATGTCAGAGCAAATGAGAATCATGAGGTCGAACTGCCCAAGGAGCTCAGAGACAGAATTGTGGCAAGGCACAGATCTGGCCAAGGTTACAAAAGAATTTCTATAGCACTCAAGGTTCCTAAGAGCACAGTGGCCTCCATAATCCTTAAATGGAAGAAGTTTGGGACGACCAGAACTCTTCCTAGACCTGGCCGTCCAGCCAAACTGAGCAATCGTGGGAGAAGAGCCTTGGTGAGAGAGGTAAAGAAGAACCCAAAGATCACTGTGGCTGAGCTCCAGAGATGCAGTAGGGAGATGGGAGAAAGTTCCACAAAGTCA